ATATACAGAGAGACTGTTTCCATTTACCAATGATTAAAAGAACTGAAGAAAGAAGATAGAGATTTCCTGATGGAGAGGAACAGAGGGAAGTCTTCCACTTCTGGAAAGAAAGCTCAACAGGTCACAATGTACGTCATGGCAAATCGAGAATTGGGCGGGCTGTATCTCACCCTAATTCTTTTTATTTTTTATATAAAACTTTAACCCACATGATCATTTGATGTGGGCGGGAGATAGAAATGAGTAAGAAATATGTTACATGCAAGTTTTACTCAACCTTACTTTATCTCCTCCGGCCATATTAAAAACATAAATATGCCGACATGTTGGATTATGACTAGCAACCGTCATTGTAACGCAAAAGAAAGATTTTCCAATAAAACTTAAATTTAAAAATTTAAGATATATTGAGTGAAAATTAGATATAATGTTTTTGTGGTGTGTATTGAACACATGTGTAAATCCCATTATATGATTGTACTTGATTTATCATTTATGTATTATTGCCTTTTTTTTCTTTGGAATTTTATTTCCGGAATATATAGGAGTTCTATTTTTTTAGAAGAGGCCCAAAAAAAAAAAAAGTGAGCGCATCTCATCTAGGTTGACTAAACTACCCTTAAAAAGCAACCGACCTCATTCGCAGAAGGGAGAATCAGGGGTATAACGGTCATTTGAAGTTGACCGGATCAGTTGTGGTCCTATGAAAGAAGGGTAGGAAGCTGAGACTGTCGGGGGGGACTGACTTAACAAATAACGCCTTTGAAAACATCGTTAAATTGGAAATCGCTGAATACGACGTCGTCCTTCTGCTTTCAGCTGCAATTGTCTTCGTAAACGCATACATGTGCGATCGAGGTCTCTTGCTTATCCCCCAAACGCCGATCTCATCAGGTTTTGCTCCAAATTCAATTTTTTCTCGTTCCGATCTACGTTCCTGCATAACAGTTCTATATGTATTTTTTTTGTGAATTTTTAGTTTTTAAATGTTGAGTTTTATTGCGTGGTTGAATTCGTAAGGCTTAAAGTTTGGTGCTTGACGTTAGGAATTTATGATTAGGTTTGTTGTTAATATAGTTTAATTAAACAGATAAATGAAGAGGGTGAAATGTAGAGATTGCAATTGGAGTTGGCAATTTTTTATATTGGGATTTTCTATGCTAAAACCCTAAATTCTAATTGAACGGTAAATTGACAACTTGTTGATTATACTAAATTTACATTTATTTTTGTCCAGTAAATGGTTTAATTTAATACATTCTCACTTTGATCTGTAAAGTTGATTGCTTCATAAGAGTCTAACTTTGTGTGTTATTTTCTTCTATGTTTATCAGAGAACTGGTAATAACATTTGAAACCAAAGAAGTTCAGTATTATATTATTCGCTACAATTTTTGTGAAATGGCGGAGAAAGCATGTGTCAAGCGCCTCCAGAAGGAATATAGAGCACTCTGCAAAGTATGACTTCTTTTGTTCATCTCAACTTGTTTTCAAATCTCTGTTATAATCAGTTCATATCATTTAGATCCTAATTATGTTCTTTGTGATTAAATTTGCTTGCTTGACCAGTGTATATATTCTGATGTTTCACTGCAATATCAGTATATGGTTCTCATATATACTTTTAGTGTAATCTTTTGGTCTTGTTACATTCATAAATTGGACAGTTAAATCTCTCCTTTTGTTTTCTTTCAGTTAGTTTCTTGATCGC